CCCCCCCCCCCCCTCCAAAAAAAAACTGTAAAGTTTGGGATCGCTGCATCAGCACTGTGCCTGTCAACGCACACCAGCAGCCGCACATTCAGCGTGGCTTGCTGGGGTGAACAGGTCCTAAGAGCTTATGCATACAGGCCTAATGAAATACTGATCATCTATGATGCTGGCAGATGTTTCCTGCATAAAAATTGCATGAATTGGTCTGCAAAGTGCTTACATTCTCACCGCTGCGGAGTTAAATTCTTATATATTACCTCCTTATTACCTTGCTTACTAGTTCAAAAAGCCATTATAAAAGAATAGTAAGTTTGAAAAAAACAATACTGGGTTTACCCAATTATTTGTGGTATATAAATTCCTAATGGTCCGCATTACTGGGGGCACAGCAGAGGTGTGTCCATGACCTAAATACATTGTGCTGGAAGGCGTCCCTCTTTCTCATCTCAGATAGTTTGGAGTTATGATCAATAAATCATTTTTTTTATTCAGTTGTGGATAGAGTGGGGAAGAGTTAGTAACTCTTTTAGGGTTTTACTGCTATCCAGGTCTCTGTTTTGAACATAGACTTTCATGCTGCCACACAGTTATACCGACGCTGTATAGAATTGAGAGATCTGGAGATTGTGTCTGGATATGGGTAAGCATTCAACAGGCACAACAAAAGTATGTAACTGTATCTAACAAGTGCACTGCTGCTTGTTCAAAAACCCTTTGTGACAGATTTCCTGTAGTCAGCAAAAGGACATGTGTAACTCATACTTGTCAATAATTAAAAGGCCTATACTCTGTTCTACGTTATCCAACAATCAAGAGCCTAAGGAGAAAGAGGAGATGACTGCATGTTGAGATACAGAGTGCCTTTTAACTCTTTTTAGCATCCCCTGTATGTAGGGTTGCAACCTTTTCTTCAAGTGAAACCTGAACACTATAGTGCTGCATTTAGCAAGGAGAGAATTAGGTAGCCCTACGCTGACTACCAATGTAACAGAGGTATTCTAAGTGACCGTCAATGTAACAGAGGTATATACACTGACCAGCAATGTGACGGAGGTATATACACTGACCAGCAATGCAACTGAGGTATATACACTGACCAGCAAAGAGGTTCAGAATTTGCATATCAATTAACCTCGATATTTACATATAAATTAGTCACTGCTTATTCATATGTAAATAGTACCATCAATTCATATGTAAATATCACAGTTGAGACTAATTTCAGTGGGTGCCAGTAGCCCCTATCTTAATTTTGGTTGCCCCTATTTGCCTGACATCTTGTGTCTGGGATTCAGCTGCCATGAAACCCAGACGCAGCATTCAAAACCCCAGACTGTCCAGTTGAATCCCGGACAGGTGGCAACCATACCTGCATGTGTGTTTTTGTGCGCTTTTCAGGTTCTCCCATTTAGGCTCCATTTACACACATTTTGTAGCTTAAAGGAGAACTATGAGGTGAGTGCTTTTCACTCAATGAGACTGTTCTCAGCATACCGCGAGCTACAGCTTGCGGTATACTGAGCCTAGGGTGACGGGAGGACGCTAGTTTGTGTCCTCCGATTACTCTAAGGAGAACTATGGGGAAAAGCCTTAACCCCATAGTTCTCCTTTAAAGGGCTAAGCACTACAACACTAACAGAGGATTTCTATTGTTTTCAATGGCCCCTGTTCACATCTGAGCGTTCTGTCGCCTGTAGCCAAACACCTGTCACTAGAAAAAGCATGTGAGCTACTTTTTGGCATAATTCAGTGTTTTTGGCTACATTTACTTCAATAAGAACATCTGTAAACATGTGACACAGACATTTTTAAGCCTTTTTAATTCTTTGTTGTGCATTTCCAAAAATGAAGCAGCTTTTCTCTTTGTAAGCACACCTAAAGCTGAAAATGCCTGAAAAAAACAGTTCTCCTTTACAATTTGCACTTTAAAAACGCATGAAAACGAGCCCACCATGCAAATGTGAATGAGTGCGGTTTCTACTCTGATCACTCAGCACCAAAATTGTGAACCAGCAGCAATGTAAAGGAAAATAGTAAGGTGAAGTGTAATCCTAATATATTCCAATTAGGAGCAATGAAAGTAGTCACAATGAGGACAGTTCATGCTGTAAAATAGACTGTCACCATAGAGTTAACTCTGTAAGCTGATTATGGAGATCTCCAGCGCTGACATCTCCACTGCTGGTCATGTAAAACTAAATGAGCGCCTGATTGGCAGCAGCACAGCGCCCCCTACCGGCTGGCGGCGGCAAGCGAGGATCACGCTCGTCCGGAGAGAAGCCGGGGATGCCTCCTTTCATATAAGCCCGGTTCCTGTGCTGATCCTCGCCCACTACCCGGAGCCGGTGTCCTTTGCATGAGGCTGCGGAGCTCACAGGGTGGCAGCAGGTGGAACAATGCTGGAGATAATCAGTTTGCAAGGCTTGACCCGGGAGCTGTCACTCTACCTGGAGAACCAAGTGCGGGTGGGTCTGTTCGGTTCTGGGGTGGGCTTGTCCTTGGTGCTGGGATTTGGTGCAGCCTATGCCTGCTACTACCTTAGTGTCATTGCCAAGGTAAGCGCCATGCATGCCCATTGTGTACCTATTGTGTGATCACTTTGATGGGGTTATGTCATTGATTGTAGGTAATGCTTGTCATCTCTCTCCTTACAGAAACCTCAGCTGGTGACAGGCGGGGAAGCCTTGTGTAGTTTCCTCAAGCGATATTGCCCAGCCGTTACCGAAACTTACTACCCTACGTTGTGGTGCTGGGAGGGCAGAACCCAGACATTGCTGAGACCATTTATCCTTGTCAAACCACAAGTGCATTACAGGAAGTGAGTATGGCCCCTCTACTGTACAGCATTGTCCCATTAATCCAGCGGTTCTGCATTGCCACCAGGATGGCAGGTGAATTCTTGTCAGTCCAGGGACCTGATCACCTGTAATCCAGACCAATCACCAGTGCCTAGACAGTTCACCACTGCCTAGACTGATCACCAGTACCTAAGCTGATCACCAGTACCTAGGCCGATCATCAATATTGAGGTTGATCACCAGTCCCTAGATTCATTAACAGTACCTTGGCTGATCACCAGTACCTTGGCTGATCACCAGTACCTAGGCTGATCACCAGTACCTTGGCTGATCACCAGTACCTTGGCTGATCACCAGTACCTTGGCTGATCACCAGTACCTAGGCTGATCACCAGTACCTAGGCTGATCACCAGTACCTAGGCTGATCACCAGTATCTAGACTGATCACTAGTACCTAGGCTGATCACCAGTATTGAGGCTGATCAGCAGTATCTAGACAGATCTCGAGTACCTAGACAGAACCCAGTACCTAGGCTGATCACCAGTACCTAGACTGATTGCCAGTACCAAGACTGATCACTAGTACCTAGGCTGATCACCAATATTGAGGCTGATCACCTAGATTGATCACAATTACCTAGACTGATCATTAGTATATAGACTAATCACCAGTATCTAGACTGATCATCAGTATCTAGACTAATCCCCAGTATCTATACAGATCACCATACCTAGCCCAATCACCAGTATCGAGATCAATTACCATTACCTAGACTAATCACCATTACCAAGACTGATCATCTGTATCTAGTAGAAATGTCTTTTAGACGCGTTTTTTATGCGTTCCGGGCTCTTTTTGGTAATAAAAATAAATATATATTTTTTTTTTTAAAGTTTAAAATGGGCTTTCTGTGTGTTCAGAACTATGGCATGCGTTTTTGATGCGTTCCAGAGCAGATCCAGAGCAGGTAAAATAGGGCCTGCTGCAGTTTTTTCACCTGCTCTGGATCTGCTCTGCAACTGCACGCTGCGATGTGAAGTGGAGCAAAAAATACCATTGGAATACATTGGACGCAGTTTTGATCCGGTGTGCACCTGCTCTGCTCTAGATCTGCTCCGCGCCTGGTGTGAACAAGGCCTAAAAGTTTGTACTCTGCTCTCCATTCTGACTCTCCAGTCACAGGAGGCCCAGCGGGGCGGTGCTGTCTCCTCCTCGCACTGCCCCGATCGGCCTCCTGACAGTTACTCTCCTCCCCGGTGGCGCAGGTCTGTGTCCCCTCCGATCCCCGCTGCCTCTGCCGACACAGATTGGTGGAGAGCAGCGGGGATTGAAGGGGACACAGACCGGCGCCCAGTGGAGAAGAGAGAAGCTAGGAATGCATCTTATTTTCGGGTGCATTTTCCTGCGTTTTGGTACTATTGGCATTTGACCACAGTACCATTTTCGGCCACAATTTTCGATGTATTCCTAGTATCTAGACAAATCACCAGCACTGATCAATAGTGCCTAGGCTGGTCGCCAGTACCTAGGCCGATCATCAGTATCTAGACTAATCACCAGTACCTAGGCTGATCACTATTACTTAGGCTGGAAACCAGTATCTAGATTCATCACCAGTACATAGGCCAGCCAGCATTATCTAGGCTGATCTCCAGTACCTAGGCTGATCTCTAGGCTGATCTCCAGTACCTAGGCTGATCTCCATAACCTGGGCTGATCTCCAGTACCTAGGCTGATCTCCAGTACCTGGGCTGATCTCCAGTACCTGGGCTGATCTCCAGTACAAACTGTCTTACAGATGAAGGCAGTTCAAGGGTTAACCAAAGGTGGGGACAAACCACAATGTCAATTTTAGAGAAAATTTACTTTATTTCTAATCAAAACAAGCATAAAAGATTGCTGAACACATAGCTGACAGTTTACTGTCAAATAATTAAAACCGATGATTAGTCAAACTGACTTTGATCAGTGATTGGTTGGATATACGTGCCCTTGATTGGCTGTACATGTATCCCTTATGGTTGTAAAGTCTATTAGTCGTTTAGGATTTTGATACTTAAGTGTATCAATGTGTTTCTATTTAGTAACAGTAACTGATCGCATCCACATATTGTTGAGTTGAATGCAATTTGATAATTCTCTTAATTCTTTGTTGATCATGCATGTTGCAATTTTTGAAAACAGTTTCACAGGTCTGTCTTAGATCGACAGTAAGTGGATCTGTGATGGTTTTCGGCAAACTTAGGATTCTTATTTGAAGATACTTTCAACTTGAGCAGGAAAGCTATTAGAATCGTGTCTTTGTAATTGGCGGGATCTTTCTTTTGGATATACAATCCAGTTACGGGGTTACTGGATTCTATCAGAGAGAATTATATGCCGGCTAGAATTTCTTTTGTTGTGTTGATCAGTGCATATTTGGTTACGCTTAGTTCTTTCTAATAGTTAATATTAGGGAGTTTTTCCACCATAAATGTTTGTATCAGCAGTGATTATAGCTTTAAAGTTTTTGCTGATTCGTGTTGGAACCGAACAGCGGATCTACTCACATGACCTCTCGGTCAGTCCTTCGATTTTGCATTCACGGGTTTCCCACGAGTGAAAATGTTTGTAGATTTTCGGTCACTGGATGTCTTTTTGGTTTCCCTTAGTTGGTGGGATATCCAAGTATTGATGATACAGACAGACATAGTGCTGTTGGATAGATCCACAGGTTACTTTTTATCCAAATATTAGGGCTGTACAGCCGGCGATCTCCGAGTCATCCAACTAGTCTTTAAGAGCGGTGCCTACGCGTTTCGCCCCTCCTCTTGGGGCTGATCTCCAGTACATAGGCTGATCACCAATATTGAGGCTGATCACCAGTCCCTAGATTCATTACCAGTACCTAGTCTTATCACCAGTACCTAGTCCTATCTGGTACTGGTAACCAGTATCTAGGTTAATCACCAGTACCTAGGCCGATCTCCAGTACCTAGGCTGGCCATCATTATCTAGGCTGATCACCAGTATCTAGGCTGATCTCCAGTGCCTAGGCAGATCTCCAGTACCTAGGCAGATCTCCAAGCTGAACACCAGTATCTAAGCTGAACACCAGTATCTAAGCTGAACACCAGTACACTTGGAGTAAAAGCCAAGTTTTCCCTTTACTGACTTGTAGCCAGCAAGTATGCAATTAAGGTAATGACACCATCAGATATGTTTTATTACAAGGCTTGCCTATTACTCATAGAATTATCATCCAGAAATTTTGATTAATTTGAATGAAAACATGCAGGAGTCACACGTGCATCAACCGCCTGCACTTCAGCCGATGATTAACAAGATATCTCCTTTCATGTGATGCTCACTGAAAGGCCTTGCTGACAAATGGGTGTACATGGGTGTAAAAAAAAATAAATCCATACAGCATTTGGATTTCTTTTTATACATTTGAATGCAGCTCTAAAATAGCCAAAGTGTCCATGCACATTGTGGCATTTTGATCCGTAATCTAGGACAATGTTCAGGGGCGTAAAGAAAAAAAATCAAATTAATTTCATATTCAATTTCATTCTAGCCACTAGAATTAATTTACATGTGTGCACCCACATTTACAGGTGTACGTGCGTAAATTCAATGAACTTAGGGCTCTTGCAAATGGGCGCCGACTCCCATACACCATAAATGCTGGCGTATTCCTGCTGGCAGATAGCCCCAGGTGCATCGTACATCCTCACATTAAGTGAATAGCTGTACGCTATTGTTGGTGGGTATACAGCAGAACTATGTAAACCCACTCAGATGCACCCAGTCTATGTTCCAATGTTGACATCTGTGCGCATGCTCTGGTTTACAAAGTGCCAGCGTATACATACCGACAACAGTCTACACCTTAATGGCATTTAAGGTGTAAGGGAGCCAGTGCCCATGTGCAGCCAGAGCCCTTAGAATGAATGCTCGGACATTTACGCATGTACGCACTTAAATTTATTTTAGTGACTAAAATAAATTACATTTATAGAATGGCCAGGAAGACATCTTCACTCATGTAAATGACTTTTCCACTCATGCAGCAATCACGAGCAATCCTGGATTTTCGGCTTATTTAAAAAGGCCTTGTAATTCAAAGGTACAGTGACATATGCAGCAACCCTGATCATTTAAATTTGACCTTGCATCATGCAACGGGACCCCTAAAAGTTATCCATGGTGACTGATTGGTTTCTGGGGTTTCCTGTACTTTGCTCTTTACCTTATTAATTAATCCTAAAGGCTTGCAAAAATGAATCCCTATTTATTCAGGTAAAACAAATCCACCCAGGTATTGATCACCCATTTAGATGCATTCTTATAGGCTTATTTAATAAATCAAATAGGATAGTGCTGTATGTAATAAGCCTTCATGATGCAAGATTGAAGTCTGAGAGTTGAGAATTAGATAAGCAAACTGGAAAAATGTCCCCACCCCCCTATCCCCACAACATGTATGTAATGATCAGCTGTATTCATGCACTCAGGCATAGAGTCCCAAGTTGTATCCATTACTGTTGTGTTTTCAAATATTTTGCTGAAGCAGTTTATTTTTTTCCCCAATACATTTCTGCAACCTGTATATACACAATATATGATGAGTTTTTCTTATTTAATAGTACACCTTTTTGTAAAAGTGCATATCCACGGAAAACTCACTCTAAGGGGTCTATTTATAAATGTTTTCACACAAGATTCATACAACTTTCACTTAGAATTGACACATTTTCCCAATTGAATCCGATTTTTAAAAATGTGCGAAGAGTGAAAAGTGAAAGTTGTGTGAATGGTGTGAGAAAACATTTATGAATAGACCCCTGTAAAATCAAGTAGAAATAAAGCAAAAAGTGACAGGGGATTACTTGTTAAAATGTACAATATAAAGAATTTAAAGCATGTGATACATAAGTTGCAAAGATCAGCAGTACGTGATCACAAAAAAAGAACTTCTCCTTTTGTGTCATTATAACTAAGCCTTGTGATTTTATGTAGGGAGTGCAAAGTCA